GTGCTCATAACACAATTTACTTTATGATATAAACTACAATATAAAGTTAAAACTTAAGAATTCATTTAAACTTTTAATTCATATAAAGTCTCAGCTTCCACAGCTTACTAGCAATGTCGCTAGCTATTAATAGTCTGACACTGGTGGCTAATTAAGCTGTCAAGTGTCAACATAAAACTAAAAATGACCAAAAAACCTACAGAAACAATTGTTCAGTCTTACCTGTGAAAAATAATACCCCGAGATCTGTTTTTATTATTGTGCGACGGTTTGTAGATGCCCAAGCTGCCGACGAGTCAGGTATGTTTTCACTGTCCCGATGTGAGAGTTGCCTTCACCAATATGGCGGCGACGTTGACGTGCGCTCGAGCGGCCAATGAGGCGTCTAGGTATTTATTATGTCTATGGCTATGACCGCTTCACCCAAAGTTCTGCGGAGCAACACCCTTAGCAACCAACCTTAGCAACATAAACAATCAATAATCTAGCATCAAAACTGTTTCATTTATTATGTATTTCGGCAGAATTAACTGTTTGTTATTTATTTAATTAAGTATGAGTGACCCCTGCTGGCGTTATGTTGCATCGTTCATCTTAAACTTTGAGACCTAATATTACTGTATTTATTAGTTTTCTGTTTCAGGTATGATTCTGTATGTCCATCAGTTTACACTGTGCCGACCCTAGACTTCAGGGGGCCCTACTCAAAACCGTGTCGGGGCTCGGGGGGTTATAAACGCATTTGTCCGTGTTTCACTCCGTCTCGAATCGCGCTCGCGGAAAGCGAGGAACAGCGGCTGTGTTCGAAATGCCATTCTATCATACTACTCTTACTATTTCTGCACTATCCAGTATGTATGCTGTGCATAGTATGCAAATTTTCTGTATGCATGTAATACCCGGATGACCTACTATATTAGCCAGAATCTGCTAAATATAACTCAAGTACACTGAAATCAGTACAGAAGCTGTTCGGAGTGGCATACTACCATTTCTGTATGCGTGGAATGCCCGGATTACCTGCTACATTGTCTTAAATCTGATGTATGCCTCTGAAGACGCTGCATGGGATACTGTTTCCCAGAACGCAACGCGCTCCATGTGACGTTTCATCTTCAAACGCGTGAGTGAACTGGAGGCGGGGAATAGTAATGATAAATGTAACACTTGTATTTGTACGTATATACATAGTAATTATAAATGTAACACTTGTATTTGTACGTATATACATGTAAACTACAAACTATGGCTGTGTATCTAAAAACAG